AAAAAAAAAAAAAAAAAAAAAAAAAAAAAAAAAAAAAAAAAAATCTTATGAAAAAAAAAATTCTACAATGAAAAAAAAATTTCAGCAAAATCATTTATCAAAAAAAACTTGAAAAATTCTTTAAGATTAAAAAAAAAACTCCCTATTAAAAAAAAATTCTCTAACAAAATTCTCTATTAAAAAAAATCTCTTCTGTTATAAAAATCTTCTAACAAAATTCTCTATCGAGAAAAACCTCCCTTGTTAAAAAAAATTTCCAATGAAATTATACTAAAATTATCTATCGATCTATTGTTATTAAAAATCTTATAAACGTAATCCATTGCTATAAAAAATTCTTACTAAAAAAAAATCATTAACTTAAATCATTAATATTAATGTTTACCGGGAACTAAAAAAAAATTTACTATTTAAATTATTTAAATCAGTTTTATTTTATTAAATATAGACATAGACTGGGGCAATAACAAGGGAAATCCCTGCAAGTTGCCACCATTGACTAAACTAGTATACATAACGTTAAATACCTAACTCCCTAGCGGAGTCGTCCTGACTGATATTTAAAAATCTGAGGCGTAACCTAATTTCTATATCGATATCATAAAATAAATGAGGAAAAGAAATAATTAAACTATCTAAAGCGTGAAAAGAATAAAAAAAAGAATAAAAAAAAATAAAAAAATCAGAATGTGTCCTATAAAAATAATTCGATGTACTATATAAATTTACAAAGGAAGTCCATCCTCCTGAATATAAATAATTTGATATAATACAAATGACCCGTAATGGGACGAAATGGCTGTTAGATTTGAACGGTTGTAAGTATTGGATCCTCTTTATAGGAGTAATGTCATTCACGAATAAGAGACCGATTCGTCGTTGGTTTTCGCGATTGACGACCTGAACGTTTGCGTGATTTATAGTATAGCTTTTCTTACATGTGGTAATCCCACGACTTATCAAAGTCAGAACATGAAATAGATCAGGCGCAGACGAATCACGTGTCGCGTAATTCAAAAATTATTTATACGGTTAACCTAAACGTCCCATTACACAGGAATTTCTATTTTTCATATCTTCATATCTCTATATTTTCAATTGGCTTGCATAGAATTGTGATTGGATTATTTCTTTATTCTGGAATTTTTGATATTTACCATATTCATTACATTCTCAAATATCCTATGATTATATTTCATCAATATGTGCTTACTCGGTTATAGAATACAACTTTAGAAATTCTCATATTATGTAAGGTCCATACCACAGTTATATAATATAGAAAATATATCCACTTGCTTGGAACTATTGGTTAAAAATTTTCATTAAAACTTTTGGAGTCATGTTGAGTAGAAGAGAAAATGTAACATTACAACTCTTTTTTAATATAAAATGTATTATTTACAGTATAATCCATTTATACTAGGAAACGGAAAACCCATTGTAAGTCCGGAGCGATTTCATTGGGTAGGGATAGAATACACGTGAACAATCATTTTTCATAGTGTGTAGACATACAGAATTATATCATAGTCCTTTTCTTTGTTCCAGACAATTAGTAGAAGTTAAATGTTAATGAATACTTATTCTGATTTTATACACATTAGCGTGGTACAGTACATTTAAAGTTATATCAAAGATTGGTTATTTTTTACAATACAAAACTTCAGATTATGGAAAAATAAGCTCTTTGATATCGACCGACTTAACTGATTGGGTTATAATTATAATTAAAGTAAAAAACCAACATTAAAATAGTTTTAACCAGATTTGAGTAATGTATTTTTATTAATAAAAAACATAAAATAAATCCAATGTAACTGTATTTACTATGTGATATCCAATAAATAATTACTAAATTTATAAATTAGAAAAAAAATAACTTGTTACTTGATTCTAATAATTGTTTTATGGATATCACGATGAAATTAAATCTTAAGTTTGAATAATTTGGAACATTAATGTCTATTCAATAAAACAATATCATTTGAAACCTTGATGGATATAGAAATTTGAAGAATATTCATATATAGATCATAGCGAGACTTTTTACAATTTAATTTATACTGTGTTTTACTTCGAAAATATATAATCGTTATTAGCCATACTCCAGAATTATTTATCGAGAAGTATTAATTATCTACCAATTTTGAATCCAGTCTAAATTTGTCCAAAGATCATTTAATAATATTGGATTAGGTCTTCATATCATGTTTAGTCCTTAAGATATTCTCAACATTTTTTAAGAATCAGCGAAGATGTGATTATGATGATCGCGAAATAAGGTAATTTTGTAACCGTTCTAACAAAATTTTCGAAAAATGAAGCGTGGCTTCATATGTCATTGATAAATTTGATTTTATAAAAACCTATAATTTATTTTACTCGGCTAACAAATTCGCCAACCTCTAATAAACCATTCACATATTTTTATATTGTCAATTTGTTCACCCTAATAAATAATTAATGAATATACACTAACTTAAAAAAGTAATATATTTGTAAGAAAAAATACTATGTTCTAATTTATTTATGAGGTTGAATTCGAAAGCGACCAGGATAAAATAAAGATACTACTGGATAAAGTTTTGATGGTAAATTCCATTCTGATACTTCTCGATACTTTATACCATTGATTGAAAAAGAGCAAGTTCTCTTATTCATATCTAAATGAACTGTAACTTTTGTGCCATCTCCAAATGAAGGACAATAATTTTCTATGTTAATTCCAGAATTACGAACATAATTACCAGAACCCAATACCCATCCAGTAGATTGTTTTCCTGCAGGTATTTCATAATTGAAATTTTCTGATGCACATACTCCAACCCAAGAATAAGAACAAGCTTTCTCAATAATAACATCCCATTCAAAAATGCCTTTATTTTCTAAAGTTATCTTAGCTCTAACATTTTGGTGTGAGTTACAACCTTCTAGTGCCTGTACAATTTTTCCGTTATCCTTAATAATAAGCTTTGGCCCACATGCTGTCTCATCCCAAACACAATTTGATTCATTAATAGCTTTACCACGAAAATCACTTAAACTAAAATTACTTAATAATGCTATATTTCGATAAGCACTATAAACTATTTCGGTTGGAATAATTCCCACCCCATTCAACCGATCAACAAAGGTTCTAACCTTACATTTCATGTTTCAAGTGTCTAGGTTATATCCTTCGTGGTCCGCCCATGGTTTTAACCCATGTCCGTGATATACTTTGACTTGTCATGCTGTGTCATAGAAACAAATCATGCTAATTAATTTAATCCAACAATATATTATTATACTCACTTATAGTCATATACGGACATTTATATCCATGATATTTGTTGATGATGCTCCTTGTCAGATATGGC